AGCGCCCGCCCACGGGGCTGGGGGCTGGGGGCTGGGGCGCAGCTTCAGAGCTGCGAGCTCAGGGCGCCCCTGCCCCAGGCGCCGGGGGGACCCTGCTCCCCTGCAAGGGCTGGTCTTCCGTGCACGTCCTGCTGTTTTCTCCGCCTCTTCGGACCCTGATGTCGCCCCCAGTAGCCCCCACGGGTGGCAGGCCGCGATCGACCTTAGTTGCCAGGACTGTTTGCAAAAGGGGTGGACCGATTGACCGCCTGTCATAAATAGAAAAGCCAGTGGACAGCCTTTCAGGACGGATCCTAGGCAGACTCGGGGAAGTAAATGCTCAGGAGCTTCCTGGGAACAACGATCCTGCTCCCCCACCCCCCTGGGGCACCTTTGGTCCCTGAAGGGATCTCTTCAGCTCGTGCAGATAGGCAGGCGGCCCTGAGGGTGGTGAGCAGAATGACCGAAGGTCCCCCTGGAATTCATGGTGCCAAAGTTCTTGGTGAATCCCAAGTGGCCTTCTTGAAACCTCCAGCGTTTCACCCCTAGGAAACAAAGAAATGCCAGGACCCCGGAATCCTGGGATTAATGCTCTAAGCCTCCTTTCAAGAGTCCTCCGACCCAGTGACCCAGTGTCCCTGACAGGTTACCCAATCACTCACCCCGGAAGTGGCCTGTGTGGAGTTGGGGCAGCACCTGGCAGAGGTGGGAAGGAGGTGCAGCTGACCTAGGTAGGACATTCAGCCCTTGTCACCTTTAGCTGGGAAGGGACTGGAGCCCAGGCTCCACTCTGAAGGGAGTTTGCCAGCACAACTCCACCCCATCCTTGCTCTGCGGTGGAGTCTTCCAGTAGGTGCCCCAAAGGTTTAATTATGTTTGTATGGAAATTCCTGCTTAGTCATTTCCCTAGGGGAAAGTGTACCAAATTCAAGTCAGAGTCACCATTCATTGAGCTCGGCCTATACAATGAGTCTGACTTAACTGGTCCCGTATACAGTGCACTGTCAGCTAAGAGAAAACTTTGAAGACTGGGTTTATATTAAAATAACGTAGGAACCAACATTCCCCCCAAAAAAACCCTTACTTCCCCCCCAAACAATTTGTGAGGGCTTTCAAGCATACAGCCAAGTTGAAACAAATATACAGTAACCCACATGCCCACCACCTGTATTCTACTATTGATGTCTTACCGTATTTGCTTTACCACACACTTACCCACCTATTATGACCTGACTGCTGACCTTAAGTAATTAGTGATATTTGGCTTTCCTGGAGCAGTATTTCTGTCTTAGCTGAGGGAGTTGGCACTGTGGTGGCTGGGGGTGGTGTCATTATCTCTTCAGTTGAAGACCCACTGAGTGCAGAGCACTGTTAGGTGCTGAGGAAATGAAGAGGCTGAAGACTCAGGCTGACCTGAAAGGAGCTTGATTTTTTTTGGTCTTGTTTTTAAGAGAGAGAAGATAAGTGGCAATTTGTGATAGCAAATGCCAAGTAATAAAATGACATCAGTAATGCTCATCAAGTTCTTGCTGGGTACTGAGCACGATTTATTATTAAAAGCTCTCTGCCTGTATTATCTCATTTAATCCTCACAATCCCGTAAGTAGGTCATGATTCCTTTTTGCCTTTTACAGGTCAGGAAACTGAGGCATAGAGGTTAGTCGACTTTTGGTGGTATAGCCAGGACCTGAATTCCAACAGTCTGGGTCCAGGGTGGCTCTGGGCACTCTTAGCCACAATGTAGATGCCACAGGGGGATAGTGGGCGCTCCGGCCTGACCAGGGAGGAGCAAAGGGGTATCAGGGCTGTCACAGTCCTTCCAGGGGTCCCAGCTCAGGCACCTGGACTCAGGTTCCAGTTTTCAGATGGCTCCAGAAGGCTGGTGTTCCGACTTCCTGTGTGTTTGGACTGGGTGCTGGTGCCCTGGGTGACAGATGGAGGTTCTGTGGCAGATCCCTTAGGGTACATGTGCTCCCCTCTGTTGGCCAGGCTTCCTCCTGTCACCACCCTCCATGTTCTGTCCCAATATTTCACAAGCTTGGCTCCTGTCTGTTTTGCTTCCTACTTTCTGTCACTTCCTTTCCAACTGGTCACTTCTCTTTCTTCTTGGTGTTTGTAAGACCCTTGGTTCCGAAAGAGCCCATTTGCCCGTGGCAGGTGCTCCTGTTTTCAGACTCAGTCCATCTCGTGTTGACATGCCAGTCGCCAGCTTCCCGAAGCACCCACACACCTCTGGCATGTCGCAGGAGCAGCCTGACCCCGCTCGAGGTGCCCAGACTCTGTCTCCTGGTAGCTCCCGTTTTCAAGCCAGACTGGCTGTGTCCTCACCTTCCGGCTCTTCCCTCCATCTGGGCCCTTGGGCAGGCTTCAGCCTCGGATGCGGGAGAGCATCTCACTGCCGTTCCCCCTGCCGCCCTTGTCCAGCTGCTCTGCGTGCTGTGGCGGGTCTGCCGTGGTGGGAGGCTCATCCCTACCAGAAGCCAGGGCTCCTGGGGTCATGCCCCAGGGTCAGCAGCACAGACAGCCCGGTGCGTGGCGATGGGCGGCCAGTGGCAGAGGGCAGCGGTTGCCTTGCCCACCCCCTGTCAGGCAGAAAGGAGAGGAGAGAAAAAGGAACAGCAATGGAGAATGGCAGGAGAGGGAAGTGGTCATACAAGGAGGCTGAAGACAGGAACCTCACCCCCCTGCCGCACAGCTGCGGGACTCCTGCAGGACCACACAAGGCTCTGGCTGGGGTGCCAGGCCCATGGGGTTGCCCCCACCAGACCCATGAGGAAGGTCCTGGTGGGGCCTGCATGAGGGAGGCCACCCTTCCATCGTGGGGCAGAGGCCTCCTGGGGAGACAGCAGGACACGTGTATGTTTGGGATTCAACTAAATCTATGGCTTTTCATTGATTCTTTTGACAGAAAATATCGGGAGGCCACATGACAGAATACTAATATTAGTTAAATTTGGGGAGGGAGAGATTTGGATGTTACTTTTTTCCTCTGTACTTGTTTGCATATTTGAAAGAACTCCCTGCAATTAGAGGAACCAAAAACCCAAGGACCAAATGTGTTACTGGGGTCCCCATAGTCTCCCTTTCTTTTCCTACAGAAAAGGGCCCTAGACTGGAAGTCAGATGTGACTCTGATTTGTGGGTTGACCACTTACCTGCCGTCTGCACCGCATTTTGCCGTCTGTGGTATGAGCCTGGAGCTGGCTGTGGACACGACACGGACCCTCACCTGCCACCTCTGGCTTTCCGGCCGCCGCCGCCACCATGCCCAGCTCAGTGCTGTGGGCAGTGGACCTCTTCGGGAGGGTGTACACTCTCTCCACGGCTGGGCAGTACTGGGAGCTCTGCAAGGACACCCAGCTGGAGTTCAAGCGGGTTAGCGCGGCCACACAGTGCTGCTGGGGCATCGCCTGCGACAACCAGGTCTACGTGTACATGTGCGCCAGTGATGTCCCCATCCGCCGCCAAGAGGAGGCCTATGAGAATCAGGTGGGGCACGTGGGGTTTGGGTTGCTGAGTTGGTTGGTCAGCTGGGAAATCAAACCCCCACTCCCCAGACTCCCGGCCAGTTCCCACGTTGGTCTAAAGTTCCGAGTGGTGCCCTGGCCAGTGTGGCTCAGTGATTAGAACGGAACGGGCTGTGGGCTCGATTTCCGGTCGCGGGCACGTGCCTGGGTTGCAGGTCCGATCCCCAGTCCCGGTCGGGGCACGTACGGGAGGCATCCAATCAGTGTGTCTCTCACTTCGATGGTCCTCCCTCCCTCCCTCCCTGCTTTCCACTCTCTCTAAAAAATGGAAAAGATTTCCTAGGGTGAGGATTGAAAAGCAAAGCTAAGGGACCCGTCCGAGCTGTGCAGTGTCCACGGTCTTCGGGACCAGAGTCCCTGTTGTGTCCTCACCAAGGCCGGCTGGTCAGGTTCACACAGGGCGGGCGCCTGGCGGTTTCCAGGAGCCCGGGATGGGGTGTGCCCCCCGCGGCTGGCCCCTCGGGCCCTCCGCTCCCTTCCCACCCCGGAGAGGGGCCGCGGCGCCTTGCGGCAGGGCCCGGCCCCCCGCCAGCTGCAGGCCTAAAGCCCGTGCCCGCCTCCCGTCCTCAGCGCTGGAACCCTGTGGGCGGCTTCTGTGAGAAGCTCCTGCCGAGTGACCGCTGGCCATGGAGCGACGTGACTGGGCTCCAGCATCGGCCGCTGGAGGAGGTGGCCATGCTCCCCTCGCCGCACTGGGAATGGGAGTCCGACTGGTACGTGGATGAGAACTTTGGAGGGGAACCCACGGAGAAAGGGGTAGGTGAACTCGGTTCCTGCCGTGGCTCCGCATGGGGAGGGAATGCTTTAGGCTCGGCCCGTCCCCTCAGTGCTGTCCCCAGCATCCCTTTGCCCTGCGTGCTCCCCACTTTCTGCACATGGTCAGTGGGGATCAGTGCTGTTCCTCCCTCTGCCTGCTCCCCGCCTCCCCCAGCCCTGTCACTTCCTTCCGCTAGAGCCTTACAGAGCCCCACTCTTGTATTTCAGGGGTGGACATATGCCATGGACTTCCCTGCCACCTACACGAGAGACAAGAAGTGGAATTCCTATGTGCGGCGGCGGAGGTGGATCCGGTACAGGAGATACAAGTCCTGCGACACCTGGGCCAAGGTTGGAGCCTGCCTGTGGCCTGGGCGTGGGGCAGGGCTGACAGCAGTCCTGCTGTTGGGAGGATCACGCAGACCCTCATTTCTGCCCTCCCGCTTCTGCACAGGGGATGCCACCCCCATACTGAGACTGGCCTTTGACTTGTTTTCTGGGAACTCTGTCGCACTGCGTGTCCCTTCCTCTGGGAGGTGGCCACACTGGAAGGCAGGCCAGATTGGCCCAGGACAGCACAGAACTTGCCTTGTCCCAGAATGAGGCTCAGTCTGTGCACTTCTGCCTCCCTCACCCCGAATGAGCCACTGGGCTCTGGTATTGTTATTGTGACCTTGACAAACTTCCCAACTTAGGGACCTGAGGCCTGGACTGGGTCCTACATGGCCTTGAATGAGGGGAAGGCCTCGAGCCCTCACCAGGCTTCTCTAGAGGGTCCACGCTGTGAGGTGGGGCTGCCAGCCCAGCCTACCTGTCCCTCGGGCTGGGAGCAGCCCAGAGAACAAGATGATGACTGACATCACAGAGGGCTTACGCCACAGGGCCACGTTCTGTGACCGGCCCCCTTCTAGGTGGGGGGTGGAGTCACGGTAGGCAGGTCAAAGCAGAGCCAAGACCCTGTGTGTGCAGCTGCCTTCCCTGCTGGAGCAGCAGTGACCACTCAGGGACAGCAGCTCGGGCCTGGTGGCCGGCAGAGGGAGGACAGGGCAGAGAGGACCCAGGGTGGGAACCGTCCTGATTGCCTGCTGGGTGCAGTCAGGCAGCTGTGCACCGAGGTGGAGGGTGGAAGGCCGCATGCTGAGGGCTGGAGTGGGCTCCCGCTGGTGCCAGGCAGCCGTCTGCCAGGAGGGGAGCAGTGCCATCTAGTGGCCCAGTGCCCACAGACACTGACAGCCGCTGCCTCACACCTGTTTGTTTCAGATCCCTTCAAAGGATGACCCCAAACAGCTGCCAGACCCCTTCAACGACCTCTCTGTGGGGGGGTGGGAGATCACAGATGAGCCCATGGGCCACCTGTCCGTGTGGGCTGTGTCTCTGCAGGGAAAGGTAAGGCCTGTGTCCCCCCCTGTGCCTTGGACAGGAGGTGGCCGAGGGGGGTGGACACAGTCAGGAGTGGGGCAGGAGTTGACCTTCTGTTGTCCTCCCAGAGGTAGAACAAGGAGGAGGGCTGCCGCTGGGACCGCCTCGCCTCCTATCCCCACAGCTGGGGCTAGCCTGAGCAAGTGGCATGTTACCAGGGTCCCCATAATCGCCCTTTCTGTGAATCCTGCTGTCCTGTTGACCCCCTGGATCCTGCTCCTCCCAGAAGCCTCTGAACTCCCACCCTATCCCTGGCCCTGGCATGGCCCTTCTCTGAGCCCCCAAAGCACTGACCAGTGCCCACCTTGGGCTCAGATGCCATCAACATGTTCAGAGTTCCCTGCCAACTCCCTTGGGGCACTTCCAGAGCAGTCTCTTAAAGTATTGCTGGTGGCTGGGTGGGAAAATGAATGGGGATGGGTAGGTGGGGATGGGTGGGGTCGGT